GCATGTGGTGCTGGGGGATTGAACCGCGGTCCCTGTGCTTTGCTAAGCTTGTTCTAAGTAGGTGCTTTAGACCACTGAGCCATCTCACCAGCCCCATAAAAGTCATTTAGAAGAGTGAAAGTGGACCTGCGCACCTGCAGTTCCAGCCACTGGAAGGCCTCTCTGCACCATACCCAGTGTGACCTTATCTTACAAATTAAAAAAAAAATGATTTTAGAAGGCAGGGTTGGGCCAGAGATTTAACTTAGTGGCAACAGCACCTGCCTGGCAAGCGTGAGGTCTTGAGTTCGATTCCTGTTACTCAAAAATAGGCAGGCAGACAGGAGAGCAGGGTGTAGTTCAGCACTTCCTGTGTCAGTTCCACGTCGGAGGGGCGGGTGTGCTGTGGGCGAGCGCCAGCCAGGTGCGGTGTCCCGGCCTCAGGAGCGCCTTGGATCTGGGGCAGCGCTCACTCCATTCCAGGCGCAGGTGGTTCGATTCGGGAGGTGTCAGCGCTGTTGCCTGTCCTCCGTGACCCCACCTCAGGTTCTCTCTAAGCGGAGCCCCTAACTTGAGGCCTGGGGCTCCCAGGTTAGGGTGCGAGGGCGGAGTCAGGGGCCGCCCCCTCTGCGGTGGCTCTCCCACCCTTGCTACCCAGGCGCTGCCCTCGAGGGTGAGGCCGGCCACCAGGCGCCGCCACCTGCCCAGTGCAGCAGCTGAGTCAATATTTTCCTGTCTCTGCTGCGCTCACATTCAGTTATTTGTACTAACAGCAGCCCCTCCTTCCCCCACCGTGAACCAAGGCAGCGTGGTGTCCCCTCGCGTGGGAGCGCTGCCTCGGATTTTCAGGGAGCTGGCAGTCTAGGACCAGAGAGTCTAGAAGGAAAAGGCGAGTTCCGTGGCGCCTCTGGGTGCAGGTGGGGCGGCCGTGGGGGGCTGAGTGCTGAGCTGTGCAGACAGGCATGAGGCTGTCGTCCGTCCCCGTCCCTGTCCCCGTGTGTCCCCCCCATCCTGCAGTATGGTAAAGTCTTGCTGTCTCCTGGCAGGTGAGCATTTTTTTTTTCCTGGAAACTAATTAGCTACTAAAATTAAACATGCTTTTTTTAAAAATTTATCCTTTTCATGAAATGGCTTTAAAATTGGCCTCAGCTTTTCCAAGAGCAGCGCTGACCCAGTTCCAATTGGAGACCTTGGGAAGCCACCTTCCTGCTGCCACCAGCCACTGTGGGCAGGGCCTCTAGGCACCTGGTGGAGCCTGAGTCACTGTCAGCACAGGTGCTGGGCAGAGCAGCGGGCAGAGGGATATGTTGTTTATGGGATTAAGGCTCTGCGCGGCCAGGGTGTCAGCTGAGACTTCTTACCGTAAGCTGTCTCAGCTGCTCGGGTGCCCAGCTCTGCGCATGGGGAAGGAGCAGCCTGGAATTTGCTCTGGGCACCTGTGGGACTGACAGCGCAGGCCACCCGAGTCACTGCAAAGGGTGCTGAAAAGGAGGTCGAGGCCCACGAGCCTGGCATCCACGAGGAGCTGTGCCACCTGCAGGGTGACAGTAGGCACTGTGTGGTTTTTGCCTGTCCTCTCCAGCCTTCCAAGGGACGCTCCTTTTAAGGTTACTCACTGTGCCTTTCAGGGAAACTCTTCCCTGTCCCTCTGCTTGGGCCACTTAAGCCAGCAGACAGCAAGATGGGCTCCTGCAGGCATGCTCAGGGCTGGAGGGAAGTAACCGTGCTGCTGCAGGGAGTTTGTTTTTCCAAAAACAATTTCATTTAACTGAAGTGTCCACTGTCACACTGTAAACACACTGGGGCACCAGAAGGGTGGCTTACTGAATTTAATGCCCAGCAAAGGTCAGCATTTAGAAAAAGCCAAAAATGGCTGGAATCTTTCCTGATAGCTCTTCAGTCAGGCCTGGACCCAGCAGATGTGTTTGTTTTTTCAGAGGGACTTCCCAAGGCCTCATCTCAAGTTCAGGCTCCACGGCTCCTTTCCCTGCAGTGGGGGCTCCTCCTCCCAAGAGGTCGCTGGTCACCCAGGTGACCCTGGCATTGGAGGTCCCTGGAGGGAGGGCAGGGGCCCTGCCCTGGTGGAGGGTGCTGGGCCTTTTTTGCGCTAATGTTGTCTTTGTCATTTTCCTCAAAGGATGGCATGAACTGGGTCTGCAAAAATGTGAATGCAAAGAAGAAATAAAATCTAGACAAATGGAGATGCAGGAGCTGCGGGAGCCGAGTCCAGTGCTGGAAACACTGCTTTGCTGCTTTCTGCCCAAGTGCTTTTCCGTCTGTGTACAGCGACAGCTGTTTGAAGAGAGGGAGCAACACAGCTTAAAGAGAATCCCCATTCCAGCAGTAGATTTAACTGATCTCTGAGGTTCAGTATCATTTTTCAAATAAAGGAATTATATTATTTCCTCTGCATAATTGAAATAGTATTAAATGTCTCAAAGCACATGACTAGAAAATGAGATCTTTTAAATGAGCAAGAGATTACATCGCAGTTTAGACAATTCCAATGGGCTTTTTTCTTGCAAAAAAAAAAAAGGAAGAGCTGCTTATGCTGAGTTCATTTATTTGCTGACCTGTCCCTTCGTTCCCTCTGTGTCTGAAGCACAGACAGCATTCCCTGTGCCGGCTGGGGACTTTTCTGGTCATCCCTGACTAGGGCGAGGGAAGGGGGGTGACAGCAGATGATTAAACCATCCTGTCATGCAGGTAGGAGACTGTAATCTCACCCTTTGCACAAGAGAAAAATCCCCCCTTGTCAACAGGTCACCCCACCCCCGCCTGCCTCACAGGGAGCAGATGCTTATGACTTTCGACTGTAATGACATCTGGAATGTAAGGAGGGTGGGAGGTTTAATTCCAGAAAAATTACAAGGTCCTTAGAAAGCCCTCACTCGGAGGGTTTAGGCGGGCGCAAGCAGGCTCTCTCCAGTTCAGCGGAGCGCGGAGCGGCCGCTCTGAGATTAGCCTGCTTCTCCCGGCTAGCCTATGGACGGAGTTTCTAAAGCGCAAAGAATTCTGTGTTGAAATGATCACAATAGTCCACTGCTATCAGATTTTAAAAATAAATGCAGCTTTACCATGGACTGGCTCCACCGAGATAGGCCAGGCAGATCGATTTTGAGACGAGATCAATTCTTACAGTGCGAGGAGGAGGAGGAGGAGGAGGAGGAGGAGGAAGAGGAGG